GCAATTAATGAGCTTAATTACCATGACCTACTTTTCAACAATGGAATATTTTGTTCAATCAATTTTACTAATGAATGTTTTGATATGGATTATTACATGAAAATTAAGAAGAAAAAATCCAAAAATATAATGTAGGTTTGTCATAATGGAGCTGTTTATGAATTTTACCCCCCACTTTACCCCCCCCCCCCATAACTAATGAATGGCTCAGATCTGACCTTAATTTTATGTCATATCATGACCGCCTAACCCCAAGGAATTCCTACACAAGAAATAAAAAATATCGGTCATGGCCGCCAGAAGGCCCAAATTGGCACTCCTCCTTTGACCCTGGAGAAATCAATAACTCAAGTGAGGCAGCGTGAAGCTGTTCAAAAACAGCAATGTGTTGTTCGAGATGAGCTGACTACAAGTGTTTATGTTATTAACAAGGGGAAAACTTGGAAAAAGTCTCCTAAAAAGACTGTCAATAACAAGAAACTTCAGTCTAGGCAGTATAACTCCAACAATCAAAGTGCTAGGGGTACTTCATCTGCTAAGAAGTCCTGTCACCGATGTGGTAACACCCCATGCCATTCCAGAGACAAGTGTCCTGCTAATAATGTTGAATGCCATAAATGTCATAAAATTGGTCATTTTTCAAAGAAGTGTCATTCAGTGGCACCCATTGACGAAATTGGTGCGGCGTTCTTAGGGGCTATCGACAGTTCTGGCCAAAGCGAGCCATGGAAAGTTAACTTGATGTTGGAAGATACTGGTGTTGAATTTAAGATCGACACAGGTGCAGATGTCACTGCCATTCCGGAGAAAACTTTTCAGAGATTGAAAACCGTGAAATTACAGCCATCTGATCGAGTACTGCTAGGTCCAGGAAAAACTAGGTTAAAAGTTTCGGGCATGTTTAAAGGAGAGTTGTGCTCAGAGAAGAAAATTACCTTTACAGACATTTATGTTGTTCAAGGGTTGAGTAAGCCGTTGCTAGGGCGACCAGCAGTTGAGGAGCTAGAATTAGTCAAAGTTCTGGCCTCTGTTCAGTCTAAGGCGAACAACTACATGGCAAAGTATCCTACTATCTTCAAGGGTCTAGGAAAGATAAGTGGGGAGTACGAAATTCGACTTAGGGATGATTGCAAACCATTTGCATTGTCGACTCCGCGACGTATAGCTCTACCGCTGCTTGATAAAGTTGAAATGGAACTAAAGAGAATGGAGAGTTTGGGCGTCATTTCTCCGGTAGATGAACCGACAGACTGGTGTGCAGGGTTAGTTGTGGTTCCCAAGAAAAACAACACTGTACGGTTATGTGTGGACCTAACCCAACTTAATAAGTCAGTGAGACGCGAGAATCACCAATTACCAAGTACAGAGGATACTCTACATAAGCTCACAGGGGCTAAAGTGTTTTCAAAATTAGACGCTAACAGAGAGTTTTGGCAAGTTCCCTTAGCCGAGTCCTCCAGACTTCTGACAACTTTTATTACACCATTCGGGCGCTATTGCTTTAATCGACTTCCATTCGGGATCTCCTCAGCGCCGGAACATTACCAGAAACGCATGCAAGCTCTACTTGCAGGATTACCAGGTGTACTATGCCAAATGGACGATGTACTGATCTTTGGCAAGACGCAAGAGGAACATGACACACGTCTTAAGGATGTACTTGAGAGATATGTTAGTGCTGGGATTACTCTCAACAAAGACAAGTGCGAGTTTTCAAAGGACAGCATTACTTTTGTTGGTCATGTGATCGATGCCTCAGGTATCAGACCTGACCCCAAGAAGGTTGAGGCTATTGTAGACATTAAACCTCCAAGTAACGTCCCGGAAGTACGCAGATTTCTGGGTATGGTTCATCAGCTGGGAAGGTTCACACCCCATCTCGCGGAACACAGTAAACCGATACGCGATCTTCTCCAGAAAGATAGTCTGTGGGTGTGGGACGAGCCACAAGTTCAAGCGTTTGAACGTATCAAAAGAGAATTGAGCTCTACACCAGTGTTAGCCCGATATGACCCAAAGGCACAGACAAAAGTGTCTGCTGACGCATCCTCATTTGGATTAGGGGCCGTGCTTCTTCAGTGCCCTCAAGGCGAAGACGACCATTGGAAGCCTGTCGCGTTCGCATCAAGGTCAATAAGCAGTACTGAGCAACGTTATGCTCAAGTGGAAAAAGAAGCCTTAGCAGTTACTTGGGCGTGCGAGAAATTCGCTGATTTCGTGATCGGAATGAAATTCCAGATTAAGACTGACCATAAACCACTCGTCGCGCTTCTCGGTTCGAAAGCCATGTCAGAGTTACCACCGAGGATCCAGCGTTTCAGAATGCGTCTTGCGCGTTACGAGTACGAGATATGCCACGTAGCCGGAAAACTGCTATATACTGCCGATACTCTGTCGAGAGCACCCCTCTCTGAAATTTCAAAGGATGAGGAGGAGTTCCAAAATGACGTAGAGAGCTATGTAGACAGTGTTGTCGCTAGCTTACCCGCGAGTGAAACTCGTCTAGACGAGATACGCAAATTACTTCACGAGGACAGTATCTTAAGTGTGATCGTGAAGTACTGTCGCGATGGCTGGCCAGGGTACGAAAACCCTAACATCAATGTGTTGACAAGACCATATTGGCAAGTACGTGAAGAACTTTCTCTGTGCCAAGGTTTGTTAATGCGTGGGAACCGTCTGGTTATTCCAACATGCCTGAGAGCAGATATGCTCCAGAGGATACATGAAGGTCACCAGGGCATCGTAAAATGTCGCGAGCGTGCGCGTACCTCTCTGTGGTGGCCTGGAATCGGTCGCGAGATAGAGGATCTTGTTCGGAACTGCACAGTGTGCGTAAAGCAGAAAACAGACCATGCGGAACCATTGAAACCGACTGTGTTTCCAGAGCGTCCGTGGCAGAAAGTTGCCACTGATTTGTTCTATATGAACAACAAGAACTATTTGCTTGTGATTGACTATTTTTCGAGATATGTCGAAATCGCGTTATTACAGTCTACTTCATCAGAAGCCATCGTGAACCACCTTAAGTCAATTTTTGCGCGTCACGGCATACCCGAGACTCTAATATCTGACAATGGGCCACAGTATGCCAGTGCATTATTTGTGAAGTTTGCTGCTGAGTATGGCTTTCGTCATGAAACCAGTAGTCCGCACTTCCCACAAGCCAATGGAGAAGCAGAGCGCGCGGTTCAAACGGTTGAACGCGTATTGAGGAACGCGAAGATCCTTATCGGGCTCTTCTAGCATACCGCGCAACACCCCTGAAAAATGGGTTCAGTCCAGCAGAACTGTTAATGGGTCGAAAACTGCGAACGACTTTACCTGAAAACCCAAGTAACCTTATCCCTCAATGGCCAGATTTAGACAAAGTTCGCGAAAGGGAAACAAAGGATCGGTTAGCTCAGAAAGAAAACCATGATCTCACGCGTCGGGCAAGATCTTTTCCCAAGCTTGAGCCAGGAGAAACGGTGTGGGTTAAAGGTCCAGGTGGTGGCTTCAGTGCTTCCGTGTCTTCAGCTGTCAACGACAGATCGTTCCTATTGAAAACTCCGTCCGGACAGGTCAGGAGGAACCGTCGTCATCTTGTGTCAGCTCCCAGGTTGATACCAGAGACATTACCAGATGATCATGAGGACCATGAAAAGACTTTTATCAATTCTGATCAGTGTGTTTCTAGTCAGGTTAGCAAGTGTGATAGATCACTAGGTACAGATAGGTCTATGGACAATATCCCAAAGACTCTAACCACTAAGCCAAGTAAGACGTCAAACGTACAGTCTAGTCCTATCAGTTATACCCCAGGTAGAATAGTTACCCGATCAGGACGTGTTTCAAAACCAGTTCAGAAAATGAACTTGTAGTTCATTATTGTTCATATGTTTAAGTGTCTACACAGATACAGAGTTATAGAGTTAGTTAAACTTAGTTCAGGTTCATTCTTTATTGATAAAGCGATTTTGTTACCTTTATTGAACATTGATAGTTCCATAACATAGAACAGTCAGAAATCATAAATGCAATTTCATGTTAAAGTTCATTTATTTCCTAAGAAAGGGAGATGTAGTGTTAGTTATAATCTACGAACTAGTGCAAGTCTATGTATGAAACGGGCTATAGCGCTTATGTGAAACAGACTATTAGTTTGTGTATTACGTAACATGTTTATGTGAACGCTGAGGAATACACATGGTTCTTTCTCAATGCCTTTATTGTGTTGTGTCTGTATCCAGAACCCGGCCGTAATACAATATGTAACACGAGGTAGAATTAAAACTAAAAGACTAAAAGTGTATGTGTGTGTTTGTGTGTGTGTGTGTGTGTGTTTGTGTGTGTGTGTGAGGGTGTGTGTGTGTGTGTGTGTAATATGAGAACCCTCTTGTGTGAGGACACATTTGTAATGTTATGTATGAGGTGTTATAACATATTCGGATAACAAAAAATGTACACTCATTTAGAAGAAAAATCAAAATCTTCTGTTACGGCACAGACTGAAGGAGTGACCTCCCCTAGCACTTGGCCAGGTCCGGGGCTAGAGTGTAAACAAACGACCCGCGATCATAATAAATGCAATATTATATGTTAAGTATTTCTCTTTTATGGGTTAAACAAGTGTTTTAAGATCAGATAGGTACAGATATTGTTTGGTCCACCAAAAAATCTTAAATCAAACCGTATGGTTGCTGTAGGCTAATTTGACAAAAAAAAAACCTGTCGAGTGTGGCTTGCAATTTTTCATCATTCAAAGTGTCATAATTTTGAAATGATTTATTGGAATATTGTTTCAAAAAAGGAGATTTATTAGATTTTTTGTCGAGATATGAATTATTTCTTACTTTCCTAGAACGGTTATCGGGGACCTAGTCAGGGCAGGGACCGGCGTACATCGGGGACGAAGTCGGGGCAGGTATCGGCGTACACAATTCACCACATCTATTTTTGGAAGTGGAAATCAGTAAAGATCAACAATAACTCCATGGAAGTATTTTCACTGTCGTAGTCAACTTAGTCGACAATCTGGTGCGATAGCGGGACATTTTATGTCACATGGCTTAAGCTATTCACTCAAGACATTTATTTATTCAGTAATTGAAGGTAAGAATCACAAGATTTCATTTGCACGATACCTGGACAACAGATGGCATTCTGCCAATATTTATTATGTTTACATTACAGAAAGTGATAAATTAGAACTTCAGTTTGTTGAGGTGAATTTACTATTCACTTAGCCATTGGACCAGACAACATTACACAATACAAAACTGCACACATTACCTTTTTTCCAAACATTTTATTGACCAAGACAAGACATACATAACATTACAAAGGTGTCCTCACACAGGGTACAACGAATTACCGAAAAGACAACCATCTAACGAAAAGACAACAGAATTACCGAAAAGACACCGGAAAAACAGTTATTATCAATATTACACTAATTTTTCGGGTGCTAAATGGAACTAAAACCATTCCAATCTCAATTCAAGTCATGATTTATTCAATCTTTGCAGTCTTTAATGACTGTGGGATATTAGGGGTTTTCCGTAATTCCCCGTGACTGCAATGGCTGACATAAGTGAAAAGGCACCGGAAAGACAGTCTGTAGGCCTTTCGATATTACAGTTTTTGGGTATTGTCTGGTACTAAAGCATCTAAAATCCTGACCCCATCCATAATATAACGAATATTTCCATTCCTATTGACTTCTCAGAATCTGTTTTCGTTTCAGAATTTCCCGTAACCACAATAGCGGAGTCAGGTGATTGACAGCTCAGAACTCCGCCCACATTATGGCGATACCTGATGTTCAGAAATAATAATAATAATAATATTTCTTCAGATAAATACATGGCAAACAATATTACATTGAACAGATGTTCTATAAAATCACATTAATTATAAGAAACTATCACAGTTGATTCTAAGAAATTGTATCACAGAAGATAAGAATAAATTAAAATTTGATTGTGCATGTTATAATTAGACTAGTAAAATATGCCATTATTTATCTAGGATAACCCATAAAGTCAAATACTGACTTATTTCCAATGGGGTCCTTTAACTCCAGTGGGTTTTTTTTTTTTTTTATAAAAATGGGCTGTGGCAAGCAATTAAGTTGTGTATTTCAAATGGTTATTGCGATTGCACATGTCTGTTAATAACCTGTAATGTGTTGATCAGACAATGAAGATCAATCCATTCATCAATCAAATGTTATATTTTTGTCTTCTCCCTTAATAATGTTTATACTACCGTACTATATATGACATTAAAAATATATGACACATCACTTTTACAATGATATCTTCACATACAACAAGAAAAGAATGTTTTTTTTTTTGTTTTTTGTTTTTTAATTGATCAAATATATATATATATACATTTTTACTTTCTTCACCCCATATGTTGTGGTTCTTTCATTCATTTTTCTCCTTTGACCAAGTTTCCTGCCATGAGACCTTGGGGCCATTACAGTTGTTGTACCGTCTGTTGATGTCACAGTTTTTTTTGTCCTTTTGGTTTTTCAAAAGTCTGTATAGTCGCTGTCGTTCGTCATCCGTTTTTGAAACCCACATTGTCTTTGTCACACCAAAATGTTTGTGGGTATCTTCCAGTCGAAATTGTCCTGTACCTACATATGATCGTCTCAGGTCTTTGAACTGTCCATTGATCAGGTGTGTGATAATGTAGACGAGGTCTAAAAGGGGTTTTGATTTCCAGTCAGTGGCCTGTTTTAATACATGGTTAATGGATTCCCAGTTGTAATTGGTCCATTTGCGGTCCAATAACCCAGCGTTGACTGGATCATTTACTTGTTTTTTCAAATTTTGTTTAACTTTTTTCACAAAATACTGGTGAAATTTGTTGGATAGTCCTTTTGCCGGAGTCTCAACTGCTGTACATTTTTCCTCAAAACATATACTGTCACCGGCATTTATGAGGCCATCAGGACCAAAAATGTTATCTAGCAATAGTTTCCTGTCATGTTTTGTGACACTGTCATCCACAAGTTTCTCTTAAGTGAACTTTTCACATCAAAATTTTGACCATGGAAACAGCAGTCTTTGCAGAAGAAATTCAGAGACCATTCTGACCACGATTTCAGCTGTATTTCCGACATAGGTACACATTCTTGATGTATCCACTCCAGACATTTACTGCATTGAATTGTGTCAGAGACACATTCTTTTTTGCATTTCTTGCACGGATAACAGTCTGCCATACTGAAGGACACTGACAACATATTCTCCCATGGCATTCATTCTATTGGGATGAAACCATAACAGAGCAAAAACAGATAGACGGAAATGCTTTCAATATAATGTATATTTTGGTAACATGAAAAAATTCATCTCTACCCGTTGGCATCAATTTGATCATAGACGAAATGTTATTGCAACAATCTGGAAAATACACAGGAAACGATGCAACCATTGTCATGAATTAACAAACTGACAAGTGTCATAATGGAAAAAAATACTCTCAAAAAGCAGAAAACAAATGACGGCAATTAAAAACCATTGACAGTTACAATGATGCATGTCAGTTTTCATAAAATGATCTCTCCATCGGTAATAAACAAAATAATCAACCCTGATTGGTTGAATGAAAATATCAGCAAAATGTAGGCAGAGCCTAGAGCTGTCGATCACGCTCGTCAGCCATGGCGGTAAGAGAGAATTACGGAATAATAACTAGCATCTAATAGGTCATGAAAGACAACAAAGACTGAATAAATTATGACTTGAATTGAGATTGGAATGGTCCTAGTTCCATTCAACACCTAAAAAACTAGTGTAATATTGATAATAATTGTCTTTTCGGTAATTCTCCTGTCTTCAGTAAATGGCTGTCATTTCAGTAATTGGTCGTAGCGTTCTCACACAGGAGGGCTCTTATACTTACACACATCATTCACACTTCTCATATTCCTGACTATTAAATACATGTACACACACCTACACACACACTTTCAATCTTAAATGTTCCTTGCACACGAGATACATTCAATCTTTTTTCACATAGATGCACAAAAATAGGTAGGGTCTAAACTCGGTATAAAATGGGTTTCCCAGAGAGCTAAGGTTAGAGGGCATGACCAAACTGTATCATCCCTGCTAATATGTATTGCATTCTCACATACTTGGTTAATAAAAGGGTATTATAATTATTGTAAAAGGGGGAGGGGGAGGGGATGGAAATCAAGATTTCTAAATGTCCAATGCATTCTCGAAATGTCCCTATTTTTTCTGAAAATCTATTATCTTATTATTTTATATGGCTAGCGAATTTTCAATTTTTGATGTCTTACTAGATAAAATTTTACAAATATTGAAGTTTGGTATACACTCTTTCATTCGATAATTGTAAATATGATGTTTTCATAATAAAATGAAGTGATTTAAACAAGGCCCAGACTTTGGATTTCCATACAAAATGTCTACATCTTGAAAGGATATAAAATTTAATTGATTTTTGTATAGTGCATACCAAGCAGTAAATTCTTCAGTAAGTTGGACTATGAAATGACACTCAGTGAAGATGTGTTCCACTGTTTCTGGTTCTCTTTCACAAAAGGTACAAAGCTCACTAGATATTATCTTCATTTTTACTAAAATCGAGTTTGTGGAAAGAATTCTATGACAGATTTTATATTGAAATACTTGAAGTTTGGTTTCTCTGGTACATTTAAAAGAATTATTGTATATATCATCCCATTTCATGCTTTCATCCAAATTTATTTTTGTCTTCCATTTTTCCTGACTCTTTAATGGCCCAATAACTATTTCATCAAGGAACATTTTATAAACACACTTCAAGTCTTTGTTTTTTAGTTACAATTAAGGAAATGATGTCCTTCTGTTTAATAGATGTAATAGTGTTACCATTTTCTGCTGCTTGTCTCAATTCTATCCTCCACTTCTTTCCAACTTATCAACTAAAGTCAAATTCTTGATAAAATCAAATGAAGGTATATCAGAGAACTCAATATAGTCTTTCAAGGTTCCATTTTCATAAAGATCACCAAATATTTTCAAGCCATGCTGTTTCCACAAAATTGCTTCTCTTATTTCATTATATGAAACCAAATTTATCAAACTCTTGCTGAAATATTCCTGACAATTTGTGGTTTCAAACTTTGTTTCTGATAAAGCAAAACAGATGTCCTGCCAAAATTTATTTTTTATATTTCTTCCAATTTCTTTCAATTTTACTCTATCTAGATCATGAATAGTATCAATATCAATATTTCCTTAAGGAGTAATTTCCTTGATGCATTGAATTCTCTGTATACTCTTTTTATCCATTTGATTTTAAAATACTTGACGAAAGAAAATATGTCATAACTGCACACATTACTGCATGAGAGAAAGAGCAAAGAAAATACATGGCTGAAGATCAATGCCCAATCAAGGCATGATCCATGGCCCTGCCAACTGAGACATTACCAAGCATGCCCTGTCAGCTGTGTGTCAGAAACCATATTTAACGTTATACCTGCATGTATGCATGGGCCACACCAATCCATTCCTTTTTGCAAATATTGCTGATTTTAATTGCATACAGTCATCTACTTCATATAAGAAAGACGTCCCCTTTAGCTTGATACGTAGAGCGACAGACCAGTAAATCTTGGGTCACAGATTTGATTCACAGTGTATGCACACTACCTGTTACAGATGCAGTGTTACAGTTCAGGGATATGGCTTTTGTGGCTGTTTTATTGAATATTGTCACTTTGTATTGAAGTCATGATATGCAACAACAAATGTTTTCAGTGCTGATTGATGGCAAAACCCAAAGTTGAAGTCCTAGTAAGTTGCAGGCGTAATGTGCCCTCTGTTGATCGCTGACCACTACGTTGAAGCCTCAGGATGCCCTCTGTTGGTCACTGACCACTATGTTGTAGCTCCAAGGTGGCCTCTGTTATTGACTGACCACTACGGTGAAGCCTTAGGGTGCCCTCTGTTGATGGTTGACCATTATATTGAAGCCCTAGGGTGCCCCCTGTTGATGGCTCACCACTTTGTTACAGGCCTAAGGTGCCCTCTATTGATCACTTACCATTATGTAGCAGGCCTAAATGCATTCTG